AATAATATTTATTGAAGTAACAAGCAGATAAAATAAACGTCCACTGTTTTCTCATAAAAAAAACATCCATCCAAGCACTTTATTGGTGCATTCAATGACAACGATATTCAAACTAAAACATAAGAAATTCACAGGATGTCAGCAGCCCAGTAGCCGGTACTTCTGTACTGGCTTGAAAATAGATATTGTTCACTGAAAAAGGGGCGGGAGAGAACCATGGGACATTCAAAACAGCCATTGGCCCTACAACGCCATGAAAAAAATATACAAAAAATCGATTAAACACAAACAACAGTCTACAACACATATGCATAGAAAACTAAAAACTGAGCAGCCCGAACCCAACCAAAACTAGGCAGGATCTCCAGTGCTCCGGAATCATTAGCAGATTCAGTTCCAGGTAAAAAAACAATCGGTGATAAGTTTCATTCGCTCATGTTACAGTCAAGGAAAAGAGGGCGAAACATGCGTAACGATAATTGGATCTCATCTGTGGTCATCTGTGACACGGATTTTTCATTACGGTCAAACCAACTCATGATGGCGTTCATTAAACTTTTGAAGGAACGACTTTAACTTCACTATTTAGACTACTAGAATCAAAACCTGCAACCCTCTGTCAAAACAATCATGATATGAAACTAGTGGAATATCGTATCAACTAGGAGATATGCTACATAGAAATAGAAAGTTCACAACTGGGTAGCTGAAGTAATCTCTTTTGTTGTAGAGTTTTTTATCATCAAGCGACCGTAATTGTAACTATTTCTAGATGTAAGTCAAGATATGAGCAATCCTGAACAATATCTTGTGTATCCATTATTTATAGTTCAATGGGATAGATACGTTCAACATATTCACCAAACTTAGAATTATTTTATATAAGGACAGTATGTATATAGCGAAACGTTTTGTTAAATGATAATGCTAGCTTCTTTTAATTTCATTCTTCCTGATAAGCTCATGTATAAAGTCTGCCTCATATGAATAACAGAACGAGTCGGAAAGAAGAGAAACACAGCTCATATATCTAATACTTTATTTCCTGGTGACAGATTTACATTGGTTTAGGTCCATACAATATGAAGGTAAACGACAACATTGACATTTCTGAAACCAGTTTTCCATTATTGATATTTCTGAATTGAAACCCATCAAGCTTATCATTATTTCATAATACACAATGCATGCAATATGGGGATGTGTCAGTTTCTCAGAAGGGAGAATACTTGTGTTCTTCGTTCACTTATTAAGGATTTTTTTTATAAAAACATACCTGATGTTTATCTATTTATTGGTATCAAAATACATTTCAATTTTCGTTTAGTACATCGAGCTTGATTGTTTTTTTTTTGTTTTTTTTTTGGAAGACTGTTTTTATAGTTTGAAAGCCTATTTCAAAGTTTGTATGCATCTGGATTTTATGTTTTATATACCTTGTATTACCATTATAACACTGTCTCTTATTTGCTGTCCGATATGAAAAAAAATATTTACTATTAAAAGAAAACATGCAATATCTGATACTTTGTGTTTTACTTTTATACAGTTTACCAATGCTCTTTTGAATATGCGTTTTGTTTCATTAAGCGAGTTGCATTGCTATTTTCTTTGTATAAAGTACACATTTGATGGTTCCAGACTTGGATATTATCAATTTAAAACCAAGTCTAATAAAAACCATTCACGTTATAATACAAGAAGTTACATGTATTACATTTTTTTTGTAACTGCCATGATTAAGCACCTACATATACACGTACATATACTTTAAACAATACACCATTTGGTCGAACGTTGCAGTACCAACATATATCCTAGGATAATAATAATCTGTGGTTTGTACCGAATTTCTGTTCCTGTTTATGACTTACCAAAAACTATTGGTCCCAACATTTTTACTCGTCATCAACACATTGGGACCGAGCTGATTACCCTTCCTGAATTCCCCTCAGTTTTATGTATGATTTCAGTTTCTGATAAGTATTCTGTGGACTTTTGTTTGTCTTTATCTTGTTATGTGCATGGTATTTTTTACCGTCTTTGTTAACTTTTTACTGTCCCTTTGTATCGTCTTGCTCTTTGCTAACAAATGTCCAACATTTGTAAAACCTCCTGTGATAAAACTGTGAAGACTAAATGTTTACGTGAAAATGACACCAAATGTATTGACAGAATTTGATTACATCGGGATAAAAATCCATTGTTAATAATTGTTCTTTTTTCATGCATCACACCATAGGCCATCGTCATGCTTACACCTAGTACACGGTACACCTCCGCAATGCTGTATTTTAAGGCAGTTTTTTGGTCGGTTGCAGCCTATGTCTAAAATGAAAACACAATGAAAAACTGTTGATTATGTCATGCAACAATCCCAGGATACAATGCATGCAATGCAGAAGGCAATAGTATATGAGCTGATAATAGTTGAATGAAGCACCTGAGATCACACCCAGTTTTTGGTGGGGTTCGTGTTGCTTAGTCTTTAAGTTTTCTATGTTGTGTTTTATGTACTGTTGTTTTTATGTTGGTCTTTTTTTCTTTTTTAGCCATGGCGTTGTCAGTTTATTTTCGACTTATAAGTTTGAATGTCCCTTTAGTATCTTTCGCCTCTATTTTGTAGATAAAAACTAAGGGAGCATATCTATGACTATGTGTGAAACATACATATAATTAATAGGTAACCATATTAGATTTCAGAATTACGTAAATCAGTGAACAGGGTGACTTAATCTTTATTATAGGAAATTAATTTCTGTATTCTTTTAACTTTTAAGGACATTTCTTTTTATCTTTGAAGATAACCATATAGATATATATTTCTATTTATATGTATGTATATAAACCTGGTAGATTAACATAACAATAGTCATTTTCACCCTCAAAATCGTTTGGAAACACGCAAATATGTTTTTAAACAGATATCGAGAGACAAACTCACAACCAAATCTAAAGACAGAGGTTCTAACCACTAGAACAGATCCGAATCAATCTCTACTGAGGCAGTTTCACTGGGGTAGTTGTGTCTTTGCTTTTTAATTCGAACACGTAACCTACACAGTGTTGAATGCGTTAGAGATTTCAAAACAATATATTTGAATTAATAATAATTAATTTAAAATTATATTCGGAAAACAATGTTGTTAATTTACGCAAAACTGTTTCCCTGAACTCTGTTTATGTTGTAAAGTCAAAATTGTTTGCTTATCAAAATACCATAAATAAATACCAGCAAATGTTATTATAAATAAAAGAATTTTACGCACGTTTACGTATATAACCATATGTGTTTGTAATAAAGTATTGAAATTGGCATTATATTATTATTTATTTTGCTTTTCTACTGATCAAGTGCTTCAGTAATAATGATAAATAATAAAAAAAAAAATTCCAGTAAAATCTAGAATCATACTGACTATTGCTTTCCTAGTATCCTGGATCCTAATAAAAGAGAGGCAAAGGATACCAAAAGGAAATTCAAACTCATAAGTCGAAAATAAACTGACAACGCCATGGATAAAAAAGAAAAAGACAAACAGACAAACAACAGTACACAAATCAAAATAGAAAACAAAGACTGAGCAATACGAATCCCCCAAAAAACTGAGGGTGATCTCAGGTGCTCCGGAAGGGTAGGCAGATCCTGCTCCACATGTGGCACCTGTCGTGTTGCTCATGTAAGTACAAACCCGGTGATATGTCTTATTCGGTAGGTCACATTCGGGGAAAGGGGGCGAGATTGTTGTTACGACAATTGGAACATATCCGTCGTCATTTGTGTAACAGATATTGCATAACGATCAACCGACTCGTGATGGCGTCCGTAAAATTTACGAAGGGATGAATTCAACTTAACCACTTGGAACTTTTGGTTTCATAACTTTCTTGTAAGCAGGAAAAAAAATTACTAAAATTAAGGGCAATTCAGATTCCTCCTAATGCACATCTTGATATCCCAAGTTCTACTAGTAGATATTGGAATTCCAGATTCTGCAACCCTTCTTAATTATAATGTGTACTGCAACAGATATACCAGTGAATTAAATAAGATGAATAGATTAAGGTAAATTTGTTTTTAGTCAATCAACAATGCGTGTCATATGGGTGATATGTCAGTATCTCAAAAAGGGGAATACATATTTTTATACCAAGGGGGATAAACTTAGACAAAACTGGTGGCCAATGAGTCTTTTTAAAAAATATATAAGCTTGAGTATAGCTGTAAAATTTAGGTATATCTTGTCCTTTCTTATAACAACGGCCACACAGTGTATTCCTGGAAGATATATTGCTGAAACTACTAGATTGATTTATAATATTTCATTGTATAAAGACACAATTTGTATACCAGGTACTGTCCTTAAAAGGCAGTTCACTCTATTTCTTGGAGATTTATAAATAGCGCATTCTACTTTTTTTTTTTAATTCAGACCATCTATAAACATTTAATCTAATATTCAATCAGCAATAACATAAAATTGCCATCTCTCAGAAGGTTTTTTTTTTAGATTAAAAGAGGCTATAATGTGCAGAAATACTTGGTAAACCCAAACGAAGTAATGACCAAATTAAAGGAATCACTGTAGATGACTCAGAGTATCTCATTTTACAGTATATTTGATGGATCACCAGAGTCTTTTGGTGCATTTCTCCGTACTTTGCAGGGTTTTCAGGGCTTAAAATAAATTTAGACAAAACCAAGGATGTCTGCATTTGGAAGGAAAAGTTTAGCCAAGATACTTTGTGCGTAACGTGGGGATTGGAGTGGGGTTCCATTAGATTTACATTTCTTGGGATAAATCTTTTTGTCACGGTATTGTATGTCTTTTTCTTAAACTTTATGATTTTAATAGCCTTTGGTATCCCCCACACCTAATTTGAATGAGCTTTGATTATATGATTATGATAAAAGTACGGAATTTTATTAATGTTCTAAAGTGAGCAAGACCCTTTTAAAGACTTATGACTGAGTACTGTTTTAAAACATAAAACCATAATTGTTTTTTAAGTTTATATTCCTAGTTGAAAAGATTTCCTTCAAATTTGTTCCAGTCCACTCATCCAATCAAGTACAACAGCATTACATCCACAGTACTTACTCGGAAGGAATAGCTTTAAAATATTTAACAACGAATACATAAGTAATCATATATAAAAATCCACAATATTGAAGTTGTTATTCTTTTGGTCTTTTATAAATAGAAAAAATACAACAAGCTAGGAACATTTTCAACAACAAGCAATAAATATACAGCAAACTATATACTCACGAAACAATACATCTCTCTCTTTTAATGTATAACGTGGATTTTATTTTAACTTTAAATCAGAATAAAGAAACTAGAAACTAGGAGCGACACAAACAACACGTAACTTAAAGTGAGTTTTACTGAAAAAGTTTTGCGTTAACTATTGCTCCAAATTATTTTCATATATGGCCCTTTGTATTGTGTACCGTAAGTTGTTATATGCATTTTTAATGTTTACTTTTATTTTTACATATTGCAAATATTCGGCTTTGAGCGTTCCTGATGAATGTAATTCCAGAAAAGCGCTTCGGATGCATACGAGATTCATAAAGTGTAGTTTTCTTTTTTTTTTACACCACTGAGTGGACTATCAGTCCCAAAGGGTATCATCAGCTCAATAGTCAGTGCTTCAGTACTGACATGATTTATAACAAACCTTTCTTAAATTATCTGATTAGGAATGAAATCATTAAGAAAATACGATTTCAACTCCTTCAGAAAAAGTTGACCATAGATGGATTTGGGTATTATTTTAGGTCCTTTTTGGTCATAAAGCTCTTCAACTGTTTCGGTTTTTATCCATCATTGGCTTTCAAATATTCGGCTTTGAGCAATCCTGGTAAAGGAAAATCAAGAAAAGGGCTTAGAACGCAAGAAATTCATGAAGCGTTGTTTTCATTTTTTTTTTACCCTAATAAATACTCAATACTGTTATCTTAACAAATAGCTGAGGTCGCCTTTAAGTTAAGAACTTCGTCAATGATTGTTTCTATATCTTAGTGTGCTTTTGTCTATTTTTTATTTAGCCAAAGGGTGGCTGGGGTATAACAGTATGGTCACTTTGGTCTTTTCCTGACCAACAGTAAACCATCGCAAAAGAGTGTTGTCCTCTTAGCTGTGCGGGATGCATGAAAAGTAAATACTTCCGGTCGGAATGGGGATGTTAGATCCAACGCCTCATGTAAGGAGAGTGTCACGCTGTCTGTACGTTAAAGAGCGCCTGCAACTAATCTTTGAGGGGCCTGTTGCTAGACAAATATTCTGGCCTATTCACTATACCATTGTTTTGCTGTCTAAATCATGTGTACTGAATATTTCTAGAAGTCGATGTATGGTTTTCGACGAATTAAACAATGTCTATAAAATTATTTTTTCTTCGTATTAAATGATTCTAGATTTATTTGATGATTCTTACCAAACGGTAAACCCAAAGCAGCTTTAATTTTTAGTACTTTTGACGTCATGAACCCTCCACAGCCGCCCATATGCATCTCCCAGTCCATGTAAAAACTGTCGTCCATATACTTAGGATAGTCCATTACTGTTGAATAGGAGATCCATCAATTCATAAAATCATTCTTACCCCCTCGCCTCCCTAATGTACCATGTTTGGGATCGAAGAAAAATGTTATGTAACTGTTGGGGTCGGCATCACAGTTATTGAATGTAAAGTCCTTTCCTGCAGCCCTATATCCTTGTTTGCTACGTTTTTGAACTAAGTTTTTAGGAAGAAAACCGAGAAATATATATGGATGTAGTTTCGAATTTCGCAACTGTGGTCCCTGATAGTGTTGATGGGCATTTGATTGAAAAGATAGAGAAGACTGATCCTTGAAGGCTAGCAAATTTTCAACTTTAACTTCCCTCTGCTCTCCATTAGGCTTTACAATGCGTACTTTTGCAAATTTATTTGTGGAATAAAGTTTTCCAATATCAAAAGCAACCCCGGAGGATTTTCTTGAGATGAATGTGTATCCATAGTCGCCCTCGAACGAGCAGTACACTCTAACAGCCTTTCGCAATGGATAGATAACATATTCTCCGCTAGGACTCAGATTATCTTTTGTGTAGATATCTTTGCAAGATTTTGCTACCTTTAAACATGCTAAAAAGATGACAAAATTTAACATGAAATATAAAACAAGAGAATACTAGTACTCTTTTTATAACTAATTTGTCTTACGCTAGAAAAAAAAATCAAATGACATACAGAAAAAATTCGTAACTTTGCAATTAAGTTACTAAAGCAAATAAAAAGGGTGGTTATTCGGCTTTTACACATGTACTTTTGACAAATCGAGAAAACAGTACATTTATGTTCAGTCACCGAGAGGACGGAAACTGTGATAATTAATGAAAGAATTAAAAGCTTTATTAATTATTGTTTTTTTTTTGTTTTTTTGTATTTACTTTTTTACCATGAAAAATACATTTGTATTCATATGCAAACAGGAGTTAGAATTTGCTTCATGTGCATCTAACTTGTAAGAATGGGGCAAGGAAATACGTTTCACTGTTTGTTGTCGCATTTTTTATCTTAAAATAAATTTTTCGGGAAAGCAATTTACCCGATGATAATTTTCAGCTAATGTTCTTTTATATTGACAAAAGCAAAGTGTTAATTATCTCCAACACTTTGACACAGACGTCTGTAAAAGAACGTTCCAGGTCACTTTTGCAGTAGCAATAGCACAGATTAGAGAGTTTTTAGTTTTAAAGAAGTCTGTTATATACTTATATTGTTTACAGTAAATTTCCATTTCCACAAAATATTGACCATAATATTTTTTTCGCTTTTGCAAACTTTATACAAAGTTGGGTTTGATGTAAAGTCGCATTTCCCCCTTAAATGTTGTTGTAAACATATAGTTTTGGTCTGCTATTGACCACATGTTAATAGGAAAAGTAGCTGTAAACGTTTACTGCAGATATAAGATGAAGAACAAATATGACAATACAACCGTCCGAAAAGAAAAGTTAAACATATCTCCAACGCTAATACCGACTACAAGTTATCTTAAGAAGTTAAACTGTAGACTCGAAGGTTATATGACTAGTCGGTCGGGGAGTAAACATTTCTTAAATTACATGCCTTTCGGAAATACCGAAGAGGCATCTTCTATTTATAATAAGAAAAAGAAACCAGAAGACGTACAGTTCTTTACTACAATACAAAAAAAAAACAAACACACGATGACAGGCACTTTGAATTGTGATAAGTGCGGTTTGCCTTTCTAAAACAACCTCTTATTGTATGTTTGAGACACCATTGCCAGCATGAAAAATTGCAAGAATGTATGTTTGAAAATTATGAGTTTGGCTATCCCTTTTGTATATTCCGCCTCTCTTTTGCAACAAAACGCTTTTGACGAAACGAGAACCAACAAATTAAAAAAGAAAATACACATTTAAAGTATGGATATAAAATTTGAGGATATAGATCGATTGAGGGATCAATGAGGAAAATATACTGCGGAAATTTTTTTTTTCTACCCGGTAAAATGCTAATGAAAAATACCATTATTCAAATTGAAACAAATTTCAAAAGTGAAATGACTCCACTGCCTCGTTTGCCTAACGACAGTTACGACCCTATAGGTAAATCGAATATCCATAACTGATAGAATGTTACTGAGTGATAAATTTTAGGCACGTAACAGAAGAGTGATCGTGATTGAATATGTAACGACGGTCAATTATAAGTATTGCTCTCGGCTGGTGAGAGTTATTGTATATATAGTTTGTCACCACATCATATTATCACAAGAGTTGTCAAAATGGTTTCATTCAAGTAATACCTATATTTGTATACGACGAGCTGTAGTAAAAATTGAATTTTTTACTTAACATCCTTAAGGGGAAACGAGAATAATTTTTTGTACATTATGCTTCACCAAAATAAATGTGCTAGCTTTCTTTTAAACAGATATTCTTTAAAATTGTCGTTTAATGTATAATAAAAAAAATAAATAAACAATTGCTATAAACAAAATTATATCTATTTTACAATTTTCTTACTTGGTCTGTGATTCCAAGTTTTCAACTCTAATCTTATGTTTGTAACAGCAGAAGTGATCTTTTGAAGATGTTTATCAACAGCAACCGTTAGCAACCCCTTCCTGCTTGATTCACTTGAGCCACTGAACAAGCAAATTAATAAAGCTGTAAAAAGCATTGTATATCTGATAATGAACGCCGTCTCTATTTTTGATTCTGAAATTGAAAAAAAATGATACATTATTTGATTGCCCTTATGCATCTGCTTTGAGGAAATTTATTCATATTTAGACTCTCATAGAGACATACCTACAAAATGGAAAAAATGATAAAATATGGTATAAAAATGAAGAAGATAGGCGAAAGATACCAAATAAAATTCAAGTTCATTTGCCGAAAAAAAAAAAACTGACAATGCCGTGTCAAAAAACGGAAGAAGACGAAAAGATAAAAAACAGTACACAAAACACAACATAGAAAACTAAAGACTAAACAAAACGAACCCCACCAAAAACCGTGGGTGATCTCAGGTGCTCTGAAAGGGTGAGCAGACCCGACTCCACATGTGACACCCGTCGTGTTGCTCATATAAGTACAAACCCGGTAATAAATCTAATTCGGTAGATCATATTCAAGAAAAAAGAAGATGGATTGTAGTAACAACATTTGGAACATAGCCGGCGCCATCTGTGAAACAGATATTTCATAACGGTCAACCAAATCGTGATGGCGTCCATAAAATTGTCGAAGGAATGATTTCAACTTCACCTATTGGAACTCTTGGTTCAATGGCTTCCTTTTAAGCAGCAATTCTCTATCAAGGAAATCATGATAGGAAATGCAAGCTCTGGAATATTGTGTAAAAATAAGAAAGAACTGAACTGAATGCAAATTAATCTCAATATCTACATGTAGTTCGTATTTATTCAAGTACATACATAGTATTGAGCAAGTGTTATCAAATTCATACAATTTTAAAGTAAGACAAGATTAACCACAACTTAGATGTCCATCAAAAAGCAGTAATGATTTTGAAAAATATATATTTACCTGTATAACCTGTTGTTAATTTCTATATACATCGTTACTGTTGTTTGTTAATATATAATGCCAAAGTATATTGATTTCAACTTATGTAATTCAATGATATGTAGATAATTAATCCTTTCCTGGAATATTTATTTGATCAAGGTTAAATACCTAACCAGGAAGCTGACATGATTCTGTTTTGATTCAAAGACCATCCATGTGACCAAATTCCTTATATTTCATGTCACATGTTATTTAAGAAATAATTAAGTACATACAAAAGTGTTACGAAATGGCGTATCACTTTTCATCAGCTACAGTATTTTGATTTGATTTCAATTTTTGATCTCATTTTATAACATCAATCATATGTGGTCAGCGAAAACAAAAATGAGTATGTAAGGTTTTAGAGTTTTTTTTTAAATAGACGAACAGAGAGAGAGAGAGAGAGATCATTTAGGTTTTAAACATTCATCTCACATTTTGATTATTAATATTTGTTATTCGGTTACCACAGACATTTGCCTGAGGGAATTGGAACCATAATTTATTGATAATTTCTAAAATTATCAACGGAGAATTCAAGAAGGTATGTAATGTATGATTCATATCAATACTGATAAAAATTCATCTTTCAATTGAGTTTGGTGACTACTAAGCTGATGAAATCCTCGGCAACTAGCGGTCCATCAGCAATGGTATCGACTAGATACTAATTGTTATAAGCAATAGAAAAATTGTCTTCAAATTTGTTTTCTAGCACAGCGCTTTGTTAGATTTCTGTTTACATAATATGCCAAGCTATCCGGGCCTTCCTTGAAATAGCAGCTTCCATGAATTGTTTTAGGAAGCTAGGGAAAATTAACAAATACCCACTTGCATGTTATTGAGATATGTTATAACGGTTGCAAAAATAAAAAGAACAATGGTTTCGAAGTTGTTTTTTTTTACATGTAATAGACATTTTGTTCATTTCCAATCATGATATTGTGACATTGATTCATAAGTTGCGTACATCATACATGTCAGTCAAAACTTACAATTGATATTTACACACGCAATACAGATATATCTTCATGATAAAGGTAAATGATGTGACACAAATATAATTAGAGGTTTCCAAAACAGGTGAAGACATAAAAGAATTGAGACTAGATCACGATGGATTTCAAAGAGGGGGATGGAAGCTATAAAACTGAATGTACATTTTTTAAGGTACAAAAACGGGAAATTTATAAGAAAAACTATTATTGCTTGAAAAACATGACTGAAATGTAATGTTATAATGTATAGTATGCAAGAAAAGCATGATGAAAACATTTGGGAAGTACTTGACAGTCTTATAATAAATAACTTAAAGAGAGAAAACCAAAAAGTAGATAGTTTCCAATTGGCAAATGCACACAGAATACGGCTTGGCAGAATCCAGGAGGAACAAAACTCCCAATCCCTATCATTATCATCAGATATATGCATTATGCTGATAAACAATTTTTTTTATCGCATTGGTCTTATAAAGCAGGAAAAATATATCCG